AAAAAAATAAAAAATTTAAATATTATTGAAATAAATAAAAGTGAAAAAATAATAGTAGTTTTAAATACAATTAGGACAAAGAATAACATTTTTTTTATTTAAAGCTCATTTCAGTTACCAAAACAACAATGCCAAATTTAAATATTAATTAAGTAATTAAAGCTAAATATAAATTGTACACTTATTGCACGCAACATGTGTGTTATATAAAAAATACTTTATCATTTAACATAACTAAAATGTAATACACGCCCGTATGTATTAATGCATTAATATAAAAATATTAAACAGAGGAATATTTGTAACTGTAATTTATTTTGGAATTCCGGTGATGTTTTAATGACTCTTAGCACAAAAGGGGGTAATATCCATATCAATTTCCTATTGTTTCTTTAAACACTTGAATTGTCTTGCAAATGGAATCAATTATATTACATAAAACAATACTTTTATACATACTAAATTGTAGCAATTTGCTATGACACATTACATTTACGTTGCATAAATGCTTCAAATCTTTATTTATAAAAATATATTTCTATCAAAATTCATAATACATATAGCATGCATACTAAAATAACAATTTACCTTCTTATGTTACAACAGCTACTTAATTTCAACAATTAATTTCAAAACATTTTGATACTACAATTACTCGCTAATTACAACTGAACATAAGCTAATTGTCACATTTGCTACTCGTATTGGACTTACTGGCAAGCGTGTTAGACTGCTGCTAGAAGTGACTTACGCGGCGGCAAAAAGAAAAATTTGCGCAGCGTGTAACTCGAAATGGGCATCATTATTTCGTTTTTATTCCCGCGCCGCTCGCTCACTTTGCGATTAACAGCAATTAAAATATCGACAATGTGACGACTGTGAAGCAAATGAAAAAAAAATTAAAGAAAAAAATGAAAAAACATTCAGAAAAAATAAAATAAAAAAATTAAAAAAAGAAAAACAAAAAAATATACACAAATAATAAAGAAAATATATAAAAAAAAAGAAAAATAATAAAGAAATCACAAAAAAATAAATCAAAAAAATATAAACCAGAAAAATAAATTGAAATAAAAAAGGAAAAAACAAAATATTTGCATTGTAAAAATTCATATTTTTTTTTTGTATATTGTTTCATTACCGATCGCCAAAACGGTGAACAGCATCGCAAAGTTCCTGTATAAACCAGGTGCCTTCAAGCGTATGGCGCATTGCCGAATAGCCGGGCACTGTGGACATAGCTTTTACCAAGTCGCTGAAACGATGTGGCTCCACGTTGGGTTTGTGGCGTTCCTTTAAAGTACATTTATGTTAAAATCGTTACTAACTATATACATCCAATGCATAGAAAACAATAATTCATACATTTATAGGCGATTCATCTTTCTGACATGCTTGAATGATAAGTAGTTTGGGCTTGCCAACTAGCGTGTCGCCGGTTATTATATGCTCGATTTCTGATATTTCCACAGGTATGCTGTTGCTACCATATACAGAACCTACACTGGGCAAAAAAAAAAAATATATAATTATTATATACTATTGCTCAGCAAAATCTTCACATTGTCAACTACTTGCCTTCGGTGCCATGGGAGAGTATGCAAACGATTAGCGAATCAAATTGAAAAGATAATTTGACTGTTTCCCGTATGCGATGCATTAGTTCAAGATGTGTAAGATCTTCGAACACTTTTGGCTTGTAACCGAAAAGCGAAAAAACGTCTTTCAAGCGGTCCTTGTCCATATTCGAACCATGACGTGGTGAGAGTGATTTTTTTGGTAGTAATTTCTTGAATTAAATTAATATACATTTACATATTTATTTACAAATATTTAAAGGCAACACTCTCACTTTCAATGCAGGATCGGGGTCTTCGTGGAAATTTAATTGATTGATTATCAATAGTATGCCAGCGCTCTCGTGGCGCACCTCGTATCTTTCATTTATGGTTAAATCACAACTACGCACTGAGGTAGCTGCGTTTGCATCTGATTGCATGGTATTTGTGTTTTTCTCAGCAGAATATTTGTTACTATTTCCAGTGCTCGCTGCCACATTATCCGCACTGATATTTGCGTTATTGCGCATGCGTTTAGAATCTGCGTTATTTACAATTGTTTCGAGAAGAAGTGTCTTTAATGCATCCAAATCGTTAAATTTGAAAAATTCTAGCAACACATCAACATCTGCACCATTTGCAACACCATCGCCCAATGTAATAATGCGCCGCGATAGCCAGTCTAATAGAAATATTTCCAAATATGCAAAATCATAAAAACGTAGATGCTCTCCTGGCCCCTTATGTTGCTCATTCACGCGTAATACTAATTGCCCCGCTTGCGCAGGTTTTAAACGTTCACATATGCGATATAACGCCTTCAGCAGTGGATGCACATGCACGCTTAGTTCGCCAATGTGGGGCAGATAGTGCTGGTGCAACTCATTCCAGTCGAAACCCAATTTTCGTAAGACTCGTCGAGCGCCTATTATAGACAAAGCTTCCACTAACTGAGCGCGCCAATTGCGTGGATTAACGCTAATGTATTTGGTGAGCAAATCAGCGCCACCGCAACTGCGTCCCTTGTGCGTATTGGAGAGTATTAGTAACTAGGAACATTAATATTAATATATTTATTTATTAAATGTTATTTTCTAAATAGTTTTGTTGGTAATATATTGACATACTTTTTGTAGCGCGAATTCAGCGTTTGCGCGTTCATCGCCAAACAGCAAAAAGCCCAAGGACACCTGTTGAAAGATAAAAACAAATACAAAATAAAAACAAAAAAAAATATCATATGTATTAATTTAGTAGTTTATACAACTTATCAACTTTATAAGTATTTGTTAAACAAACTAACAAGTTTTGAAAATGCATTATATATGCATACATACAAATATATTTACACAGGAAATACCTTTACTATAGCGGCAACACACTGAACCAAAAGCACTTACCAATTCGTAATAGCACAAATCCTGCTCCACATATTGTAAATCCTCCACATGAATATTATTCAATTTGGAAATTAAATTCAAACCTTGGTGACGCGAAGCTGACATTAAAATCTAGTTAAATATAAACGATAGAAAAAAATAAAAATATTACAAATTAAAAAACCGAGTCCTATGACTAGTTGACCACAATTATCAAATAAAGAAATTCTAATAAGAATGCTATAGAATGAAGTACAGATATTGACATAAGAAAAATAACAGCTAGCGCGAGTTGCCTGAGTTATATTTGTTAACAAATATTTTCAAAACCAAAAAGAGGTAACCCGCTATGTGTGTTAAACATGTTGGCATTAACAATTTTAAAAATATTCGTTTTTGAAAAATTATTTCATCACAATCTGCAAATTAATTTTTCATATTGAAAGTTCGATAATACTAAGATTTATCGATAACAACAACTATTGACATTTCATTTTCAAGCGACATTCGTATTCTGTGATAAAAGAGATAACAATTATTCTACACTCGTTGCTTGAGGGATTTGTTTATAAACAGTTTAGTACTAAAATAATTTTAAATGTGATGTTTCAAGAAGACGAGGTGGTAAACAGCTGTCGAGTTTGTCGCAGTCCTAACCAGGATGGTGATTTTGAATGTCTGTACGTTGTGCAAGTAATAGAAGAAAGTGGTGTGATGCAGTCACACACATGGCAGCTTACTAATACGGGCAAGCTGTATGAAGAGATGCTTGGTGTTGAGGTGATTCTCATGCGTTTTTCTTCTATAATACTCTATTAATAAATGATATAATTTAGATTGATGGATCAACCATGGAGATATATCCACAGTATCTGTGTAATAGTTGTGATTTACAAATGCGACTCTTTCGTAAATTAATTATGAGGGCACGACGTACACTGGAAGAGTTGGCGAAAATGTACACCGCCAGTGACAAAAATGATGCATTTGTAGAAGAGAAGAATGAAAATGTGACACATGTCGATTTGGAAACGAGAAATTCCGTTATTTTAAAGGAAGAATCTGTAGAATGTGATATGTCAGCCATAGGTAATGAAAATGGTGCAATAGAGTCACTGCTAGCGGAGGCAAGTACAAATATTACCGAGCCAGAACAATACGTATATGAGGACTGTCAAGCGGTAACTTACACGCCAACTACCATGGAGGAAGTTAATTACTTACAAGAATACGCGCCTCAAGTGACGCTGCCAACGAAAGCGGACACAAATGAGGCTTTGAGTGAACTATTGGCAGAAGCGACCGACAGTACTGACGTGCAGTACTACGCAGAGGAGCCAGCTGGACGTGCTATGGATGTGCAATCAGCGATCGAACATGTTGATATTAAAGAAACAAGTGACGAGAAAGTGGTTGAATTTACGCCCATATTTGAAGAGAACTCCATCGAGGAGAGTAGTGATTTGAAACAAGAACCAGTGGAATTCTTTGATGTGCATTATTTGGAGGACACTAGCAGTACTCTACCGATTAATGCATTGGAACGACCGAAAGTGTCAGGCGCATGTAATGGTGGCAATATACGCCGTGCATACGAATGTCAAGCTTGCGGTTTGGAATTTCTACGACGCACTGATTTCCTGCAACATCGGTAAGTGTCAAACCGCTTTATATGTATGTCATATAAAAAAAAAAAAAACTAATGTTGCTACTTATTCCAGTAAAACCGTGCATCACAACAAATTTCCGTGTCCCTATTGCACCAAACTCCTACACACCAACGATGCCTTGCGCGTGCACCTGCGTTTACATAGTGGGGAACCGGCTTTCAAATGTGATATCTGTCAGCGTACATTCAATCAAAAAGTGCATTACCGTTATCACATGGATCGACATAACAATGTGCGTAATTTCAAGTGTACGGAATGCGAAAAGGCATTCCTTTCCAAGCACGATTTAACGGTACATATGCGTTCGCACACCGGCGAACGACCGTTTGAATGCGAGATTTGCGGTACGCTGTTGACTCACTAAACAAAAATAATAATAATTAGCAAACATTTTGTTTACCTTGCAGGCAAAGACTTTCTCATACTGCAGCATTTGAAAATGCACCGTTATTCACATACGACCAAATCCTTTGAGTGCCATGAGTGCAAACAAAAATTCATATCGCCGTCGACGCTACGCATACACCTGCACACGATACACACATCCGAACGTCGCTTTCAGTGCGAATTTTGCGTGAAACGATTTCGGCGAAAACATCATTTAATTGTAGGTTAATCAAAAGTTTATGGTATGCCCAACTATCAACACTTTTCGTTATCTGCTTTCAGGCGCACTACAAAGTACATCAAAAGTCCGAAGCCAATGCGAACGAATATGATGATTTGGTTGAGGAGAGTGAAGAGGATATGGAGGAGAATGACTATCAAATGGTGTCTGACGTAAACGGACAACATTTGGCCATGCAGCAAGGTGTAAGCGAGTTCCTAGAAATCAACGAGGAAGGACACATCGATAGCATATTGGTAGTGGACGACGTACATAGTGACGAGCAAGCCTTATATGGTACTGATTATGAAATAGGCGTGGCTGAGGAGAACGACAATTTGACTTTCTAATGTACATACCTATATATTAGGCGAATTTTGTTATAACAAAAGATTTTGTATTATTTTCATATAAATTAACTCACCTTGCTTAGCGTCAAAATATATACATATAAGGCAACAACAAACTCGTATTTCGATGTATTAGAGTCTTCGCTAACGCAGGAAGGTCAGTTGCACGTTTGTTAATCTTCCTCATGGATTCGCTTGCGGTCGTAATGGCTGCTGTTTCTGTTATTGTTGTATTAGTCTAAAATATTAGCCAAATAATTTTTAGAAATGATCTTGACTTGAGCGTCATTTACCAGATTATGAATCCAGATTTTGAGACTTTAGAGCAACTTTGTTGTTGTTGCTGTTTTAAGTACTGCCGAGTTGGGTGAAAACTCCGTTTTGTATGGTCAGAAGCGTTTCTGCAATTTGCAGTAATGTTGCAAGTCCCTGGACGGTTAAAAATCTGGATCCGCTCCGGTAACGAATATATACTTACTGATCCAAAACGATTATCTAAATAACAGCTTTTTTCCGCATAGAAAATGCGCGTCCGGAATTGCAGGAAACCCGTTGCTGTTTTTGATATTGTAGCGACAGAATTCTGACGAGTTGACAGTCCTTACGGCAGGAAACCCGTTAATATTGTGCGGTGCCATATCAGTTATAACCTCAGACTCCTATTGTCACACGTGAGAAACTTTAATTGCAACTGCTAATATTACAATATTGTGCAAATTACGAAAGCCACACTTTGTTTTTTTTTTTTTTTTTGTTAATTTGTTAATTTAAATTTTTAGAGTTTTTATTTTTTTGCTTTTAGATTTCGTTTTTAGTTTTGCGTATATATATAATTTAAATATTAGATGCTACTAAATACGTTTCTCATTCAAATTTTGTAAGGAATTCATTTGCTTTTCTATTCACTTCATTAATTATGAAATTGTGTATTTTTTTTATTGATTTTTGAAGCACTTGTTTTGTAGAGATAACATAAATATTTTTACGCTATTTGCGTTAAGCTTAGGAAAATCAACAATACGTTATATTTTTGTATGTATATCTATACTTGTTTTTGCTGTTATTGTTGCAAACATTATTTAAATATATTGTAGTAGTAATTAATTTGCTGCTTACACAATTTACAACGATGTTTTAATTTTTTTGTTTTTTGTTTTGAAAGTTTCTTTCAAATTTACTAGTCTTCTGGGTTTTAGTGTTTTTTATTTATCCTCTACGCGTATACTACTAATTGCGCGTGCAGCTAGCTTAATACATATTTATAAATATAGGCGTTTATGCGCAATGCGCTGCTCAAACTGGGCAGCAGCTGTGGTATGAAGTGGTGGTGCTGTTGTTGTTTTGGTTGTTAGTACTGCTGGTGGTTTGGTAATTGTTTTGATTTATGCTTGTTGTTGATTTTCTAAGTTAGCTATGGAATTTCGCGAAGTTAATAACATTTTTGTTTGCAATTGCTGATAAGCAGGTGTTTGGAAACTGAGAGCAATTTTACGGAAGGAACAAGGCGGAAAACCGAACAGTGGAAGAGAAAGTATTTTCAAAAATGTTTAACTAAAGAAATTATTTCAACAATAAGAACGTTTGGTTAATATGCATGCTGAACGTTATGTATGTGTTTGTGTGTGTGTGCAATTGTGGTTCGTTGTACAGAATGTTTACATGGCGAAGTACAAAAAAATAAATATTATATTGTATATATGTATTTAACAAATGATGCAAAGTGTAGAGGCTTTAATATTATTGCTGTCTCTTATACACATCTAGATGTGTATAAGAGACAGGTGGAAGAGAAAGTATTTTCAAAAATGTTTAACTAAAGAAATTATTTCAACAATAAGAACGTTTGGTTAATATGCATGCTGAACGTTATGTATGTGTTTGTGTGTGTGTGCAATTGTGGTTCGTTGTACAGAATGTTTACATGGCGAAGTACAAAAAAATAAATATTATATTGTATATATGTATTTAACAAATGATGCAAAGTGTAGAGGCTTTAATATTATTGCATACATGTATGTATGTATGTATATTTATATGTATGCAGGTATATTTTTAATGCTGTTGGTTAATACATTTATGCGATAAATAGCGATCCATTAATTTAAAAACAAAAAAAATATTTCGAAAAACATCCAAACCGGTTTTGTTGTATGCCAAACATGATTTTCGTAATTGAAATTTATCAATTTTATTAAAAATAAAATACTTTAGAAATTTATTTTGAAAAATATAGCAATTACTTACTATACTTTAAAGTATTCAAAAAGTAGTAATTAGTAGTTAAAACAAAAATATTTTACAATTTTATTAACAAAAAAAAAAAAAAAAACATTTTATACTTTTATTTTAAAAAAAAACTTAAAATTAAACTAAAAAAAAACACATATTGTAATTTTGTTGGCATATTTTTACAATTTGATTTAAAAAAACATGCCACATTAAAAAAACTATTTAATTTTTAGCAATTTTTCAAATTTATTTTTAATTTTTAAGTTTAAAAAAAAATACTACATTTTTAATAACTTTGTTGTTGATTTAGTTTTAGATTTTTGTTTTATATACACAAACTATTTTCGAAGCAATATATTTGCTGCTAATTTTGAAAAACCGGTTTGGACTTTGTAAACAAAAAAAAAAAATTGGAATTTTAATTTAAAAAAAATATTTTATTTAAAAAACAAAGATGTGTATAAGAGACAGGTTGTGAGAGTATCAAAATTATATGTCACAATGAACCCTTAAGGGCTTAGTAGGGCAATCTTTTTTCAAAAAAAAAAAATATATAAATTTTTGTATACGGTAAAATGGCAGTGCGCGTGTACAACTCAAGCTGTCTCTTATACACATCTAGATGTGTATAAGAGACAGNTAAACAGAAAATTTATTAACAAAAAATTACTTCGCAACTTTAAAAAAAGAAAATATTTTTTTAGCTATTTTTAAACAAGTATTTTTTAAGATTAGAATCACTGTGTTGGAATTTGAAAAGTTTTTAGATTTTGAAAAAATTACCATATTTTTAATTATTGAGTTGGCAAGTTTTTTAGATTTTTTGTTCTATTCTATTTTCGTAACATTTTGTTTGCTGCAAATTAAATGCTTTTTTGTAACTACTTTTCGACAAAGTCTTCATTATTTTTGCGCGTATGTATATGTAAACGTTACACACGTAAAACGTTTTTTTATGCCACAGCGCACTGACACTTATACTACAACAACGTTGAGGGGACAAAAACGCATACTATAATACTTGGATTCAGATATAAAATTCCTTAGTTTCAAGTTTTTTAATTTTTTTTTTGCATTTTGCACGTTTGAAGCTATGCAAGTATGTATGTATCTATGTATATGTATAAACAATTTTAATTCAAAAAAATAAATAGCTTAGAAAGGTAAAAGACGAAAAATTATTATTAAAATTATAATAAGCATATTCAACTTCAACATTATTATCATCAACATTAAATCAACGTCTACGCGTATGCAGCGTTAACAGCGTCCGCGTAGATTTGCCGAAATGGACACGCGTGTGTATGTGTGTGTGTTCAGAAATGAGTGACTGAGTATGAGCATGAGCGTAGGATGAATGTGGAATAGTTAATATGTATGTATGTATGAATAACTGGTTTGGGCAGCCAGCTGTGCGTGGTGAATATCAGTAAACTTACGATGAGGATGGCTGTTGCAAGCAACTGCTGATAATTTTCAAAAGAAATGTTTGGATGCGGTGATGTGAGCGTTTTATGTTTTTTCTTATATGCAAAACACCACAATTTACTTTTATGCCTATCACATTGTTACTTGCCACTGGAATAGGGTGTACAAATATAGTTTTTTGTTTTGTTTCCTTTTCCGCTTTTTGTGTTCGTAATGTGGGTGCGTTAGATATAAGGAGTATTTTTGTTTGTTTCATAGTTTATCTCTATATAAGTATAATCATTAAATTGCTGCTGTTGTTGTGCCTACATATTGTTGTTGCTGTTGTAGTAAAACATCATAATTGATTATTCTTCTCTTAATTCCTTGTTGCTATCCATACAGCGCCGCTATGCTTGCTTGCTGGATGACAAATGTCTTCTTTTGTATTAATACATTAATATATATATGTTTTTGCTGCTGTTATTGTTAACTGTGCGTTTAACGCTTGCCGCCAGTCGGTTTCACGGTACACGATAACATCTCTTCCTTGGCCATTTTGGCACGAAAATCGGCCATCAAGTCTCGACAACTGGTTGCCAGTTCGGCAAGTTGTGTGAAAAGCGCCTCACCCTGCTTACAATAGGCATCCTGATCATAATCAACGTAATTGGTTAGATCATAGAGTCGCAATGATTCAGGCAAAAATTGTGAGAGAAAATCATTGACTAAACGATGTTGATCCACTACCATTTCTTCGGTTTGTTGCAAATCGGAAATAGCTGCGTGTTGCACCAGCAACTCGTCTGACATGTCGTGTTCCTGTATGTGAAGAATTGTAGTTAATATGATGCCAAAGCATGGTAGTCTTCAATTACTTACACTTAGTGACCGCAACAACGCCAAATCGTTCTCCGACATCTGTCCATTGTTTTTGTTATTATTGTTATTGTTGTTAATGTTATGATTATGCGAACGATTATTCTGTACGACCATTTGATCTTCGTCCTCCTCCATTATGGCATGCTCACCATCACCTTCGCGCATCATATCTGGCATATCCTTGACCACAAGCTCCTTAACGCGATCCGCATAGCGTAATGTATTTAGCGTGTGTTCACATGAACTCAAACCTGGCGATATCATCGCTATCATGCACGTCTTACTCTTCTCGCCAATAAATGAATCGCGCAATACTTGTGTCAACTTCGAAACACGGAATGGCAAATGTGCCGATTGTTTGCCCAAAGCACGTATACACTCTTTTAACGCGAGTAGTGATTTGTTAATTTCGGCGCCTTCCATGCGTGTCTGACGATTAGCAGATGATGTGTCGGCGCCACGTTCATTGCCAGCTAAGTCGATAAAAGAAAATTTGCCGTGTATTTTAGTTGAACCTGGCGGACGCAAGACAATCTGGAAAACGGCATGCGAACGCGACGAATTGGAGTTAGCCGACGTCTGACCAGAGGTACGCGCGTTATTGCCATGCTGTATAAGTTTGAGCACTTCTTCGACGCTATCGACAACCCTTTCAGTCAAGCCCACAACCTGCACTTGTTGCTTGCCATCTTCGAGTACGCGCAACTTTTGCTTGTCAGAGAGTAAATCAAAGACCTATGTGTATAAGAATATTATATTAATATATTAGCATGAGTGTGTAAATGGTAAACAATTTTCTTGTTATACCTTGCCACTGTATATTTCAAAGAAACTAGCGGACACAACCAAATTGAGCGTACGATAACGCGGACTTTTCAAATAAGTGAAAACGTCGCGTGCGGCCATTGCGTAAATACCATTCTTGCAGTCCTGTACTTTACCATTGAACTCACCGCCCATGGTATGCGTTTTGCCGGAACCCGTTTGGCCGTAGGCGAAACATGTCGCCATACCGCCATCGAAAATTGTCTGAACCAAAGGTTTAGCAGTGTACCTGTTGAGGTATAAAAAAAGCGAAAAGAAATTATGAGTAATGTGTTATAAGAAATATAAGTTTAGGCTATAATAGCAAATATGCTTATTTTATTTCAATTAAACCTGCTTTCAGCAGTATTTGCTAGGAAATAGTTCGTAAAAATGGCTATTGGCCAAAAACAATTATTAAGGTTAGTTATAAACTGACATTGTAGATGCCAAGTGCTGCACAAATATCAGATTGATTTTGTTATCTTTTTAATCATAATTAACACTGATGCGTAAGACGCTGGGAAGTGTTTCGCAATATACATTTAATTGATAAGAATAAATAAAAAGGGCTTTTATATAGTAATAATGAAAAAAAATAGCAAATGAAACACAAATTACTTAGTAAATAGTTCGTTAATGTTCAACGTTATTTTTTTTACATTAAAAGTCAAATAGAAGTTAGATTTGATGTTCTTAAATTGTAATTTATGAAAACGGTTAATCGATGTCTACGTAAATAAAAAATAATAATAAATTAGGGATTTGTAAATAATTATTAAATTATCTTTATAAAAGATATATAATGTAGGTGCATATGTGTATTGCCAAAAATTGCCGGCTGTGTACAAAATGTTTGCTTATATAGGAGCTTGACTTCATACAAACAATGATAACATTTATGACTAATGACCATTTCAACTGAAGACAAGCGTGTATAACGATTTTTGTGCGTTACCGAGCTACCAGCTATGCAAATATATAGAAACATATAGCAAATAGCAAAAGAAATACATTTTTCGTATTAAAATTTGCCGAAAACTACGCTAATGGCTACTGATTTCGTTGCTCTTTTCGTTTTGCATGCAGCAACATCAATAGCAACAATAACGAACTGTTTACGTTGCCAACAAAAGGCCCTAAGTTATATAGAACTGGTTAGAAGTGGTTTCAAGCGGTTGCCATGAAGTGTATACTAGGCGAATGATTGTGAGCAGAAATGGCTAAAGTAAAATCCACAAAGAAAATGCCCTCCCAGTAGGCGTGGTGCACTAAAAATCAAAAATTAAATTATGATCCTGGGTTGTGCATATCCATGCTTGCTTGTTGTTACAGGGGGAGAAACTTCGAAAGCAGCAAATTCATTTGACAAAACCGTAAATTCAAAATTACTTGCGTGACACAAATACAACTTCTTTGGCAGCGCTGCAACTAAATATACGAAAATAGTGTTAATTAAACGCTTTACAAAAAAGGATTGAAAATTTTCAATTCGTTTGAAACGTAAGTAACGCAGAGCACTATGACTGACCGCCTTTCTTTATTTCACTTCATAGCTTCCTTAATCTGCTTTTTACTATCATTCTTGACTTTCACAACATACACTAACACGCCCTAAGCGATCAGAGAAAATATCAACTGTCAAGACTAAGCCAACGTTTGCCACATCTGCTATCTGCTATAATGAAATTTGGAAAACTCTTTAAATTGAATTGATACACTTAAAAATTAAACATGTTACATTTCATTAGTTTTTCTTCGCCTTAACACAAGAGAGTGAAAAAAAAAATTGGAAGGCTTAGTGTCACAGTTGGTCGGTTGGTTAGTCAGCGTTTATGGCATTAGTAAACAAAGAACATATGGAGTTCAGCACGACTTGAAATATATGCACACATTTATACAAACGTGCAAACAGACACCGACAGTGACTGGTGGCTTGGCTGTTTGAGCAAAAGCGCTGGTGAAGTCAGTGATCCGGCCAGCTGGCAAGTCAAACAACTACACTTGCTACGTAACCTAACACACACTCTCAAATGTCTAAGAGCATTAAACGAAATCACGAAAGTTTGCAACTACAGTGAGTGTCCGCAGCAACGTTGAAATAAAATGCCTTGCTAGCGCCCATTGGCCGACTTGTCAAAAACGCTCAACTGCTGCCAAATAAGTGTTAGTAGGTAGCAGTTAAATATATTTACGTATAGGTACATGAGTGATAGTTTATTATGTATGTACTCACTTGTAGACCATGGCATTGTCGCAGCGATCATCGAATGCGTAATCGAAACGGAATTTATGATTTTCGAGGAATTTCGTTAAATCGACCTTGTTGCGTGGCTCATGCACGATGAGCGTGTCCTTACGCGGCACTGAAATAACATCGATCTCCTTCCGTGTTATTTCTTTGCGGCTGAGCGGTCGCTTACGCACACATACTGTGATTTGGTGATCCTCATAGACTTGTCCGTCAACAAGTGGATTAAACTCTAAGGTGTTTTGATATTCACGAATCATTTGTGCGGTTTCCCAATTAGGATTTCCAGGGTCTTGATTCATGAGTGCATTTTTTTCCTCTTTAATTTCTGCTTGACGAGCACGCCGCTTTTCACGGTTCTCCTTCAGCCGTTCAACTTCTTTAACAACATAGGAACGCCGTGCACCTACATTGCCTGCCACTGAACTAGATGCAATTGAAGAGGAGTTGCCGGCGCTGGTACTCATGGCAATGCCACCGCCACCGCCACCACCACTGCCACTGCCGGTAGCTGAGGCCAACCGTGTTGCATTATTAGTAGTCCGCGAGCGCACTATACCCGTTGTCGGTGGTGGTGGTATATTCTCCGAATGTTCAGAAACAGCGGACGATGAGAGTAGACTGGTGGCGTTGATGGTGGCACGATTGGTACGATGTCCGATTGCGCCTTGCGTGGCATTGCGTGCAAGATTCATGGGCGCAGTCGCTTGTTTTTTCGGTTCAGGCGCGGCATTTTGTTCCGGTTCGGGATCTTGTAAGATTTCCGGATTCAAAGACAGTATAGCATCTAATTCTACTTCTTTGCCTTTAGTTTCGCCACGTTCGTACCATTCCACGGTTATTGATTTGCCAGACTCGTTAATTTTCGACACTACTGCGGCGTGCACACGGCCATCTGTGCGCTTAATTTTAACGCTTTGACCAACTGAAATGTATTCCATTGTGGGAGTTGGAACTTGTCCACTTCTGCGACTGTGCAACTATAGGTAATCTTAAAGGCTATTGCTTCTACGGCTTGGTTTGCGGCGTTTAATCTTTTATTTTTTAATTTAGGGCTGTGGTGTGCACTTTTCAATGTAGTGGAGCGATTTTTTTTTTTTTTTGCTTTTTTGATTTACGTATGCTTTGAATGACTGCAAACGAAAGTGCACTTACTGCTACCACATCAATTCGATTTCCGATATTTTTCAGCTTTTTGTTTGTGTCTTATTTCCAGTGTATATATTGAATTCTATATTTTCGTGTAGTTTCTATAGGATTTAATTCGATTTTAACACCTCAGCGTGGGGGTTTCACTAAAAAAATTTTTCCGTTGTGACGATTACTCACTCACTAAGCTCGACTGTGCTTCTTTGGTAGCGGTTGTGTATGGCTTTTCAAGCAAGAAACAACAGCAACGTAGACGATATAAACAGCTGCGCGGCGCGCGGTGATCCGGCGGAATTATTCACTCGTTGAATTGTTGCTCGTTTCCCAGTGTTCGTTCTTTCTCTTTTGTTTCTTTTCCTACTCTTTGCTGTGGTTGTTGTTACTTTTATTAGTACACAGTCTATTGTTGTTGGTGTCGCGTTAATTCGCTGATGATTCGAAATTCAACTGTCATTCGAGACTCGAAGCGACAAATATGCATTCGTTATCCGGTCTCTTTTTTCAGCAATTTCTTTAAATAATAGCTGTTGTTTTATTTTTGTATTCCTCTCCGTATTCGCTGATAGTATTGTCAAATTCGAACCACACAATAACGTTGCAAATGAAGTTTCGCAGTGTTGGATTTGTTAAAATAATGATAAAGGAAGAAAATGCAATTAAAGATTTTTTTGTTTTTATAAATCTTTAAAAAAATTTTGATGCAAAATGCTAAAAAATTGTTTTCGATAAGCGAAAGAGTGGTAATTTTATTTTTAACTGACAAATATTTCCTTTCGACTGCCAAATATAAAAACTCTCTCATTTAACAAAAAGTTGACACTTAACTACAGTGTTGTTAAACGACTTTTAATGTGACATTTTTTTTTTATTGTTTAAATTTTAAACACTAGCTAAGAAATTTGCACTTTTTAATATTTAATGCTTGCATTGTATAGTTTCGGCTAGAGAGACCCACTCAGCTTATAATTATGTGTGTGCGAAATGCCTTTCTGATATCATTCATTTCATACCGATCCCCTATCGCATTTACAGCTGATTGACTATTCGCAATTGTACAATACAAATACACCCTTAACTAATGCCGCAAAAGTAAAATGTATATAGAAAACACTTTTTTTGCATAGTTTAGCCACTTGAAGATAATTAAACAATTTTCCCACACCCTAAGCGTTGAATATTTGTCAGCAAGGCTAGGATTTGAAAACTGCAATGACGACATGCAGCAATAACAAGACGTTAGCAACGCCAGTAAAATAAAACAAAAAAAAAACCCATAACTATTTGTAGGCTGCGGATTTATAATATAAAAGCCAACCTTTTAAACAATGCAGTGTGCACTACCAAAGTCAATTACCACCTTTGAGTATTTTTCTTAACTGCTAAATCACTAAAATAACTAAAACTCACAATTAAGAAATGATTTTTAACTTTATTATGACCAGATGTCACTGTAAATGTTGCGACGGTTATGGCTGACAAAAAGTTAAGTGCACGAACAACTTCAAAACTGCATATGTGTGCGAAGTGACAGTTGGAGCGCTTTGAGCGAAAATCGGAATCATTGCAAAGCCAAATAGTCATATGTGTGAGAGAAAGAGTAGCCAGATGTAGTGGTGCGGATGAACGCATTGTAGCAGCTGATATCTTTTATTAGCGGAAAATGGAGAAAAAGACATGGACCAAATAAGGTAATGCCAGATGGACTTTTGAAATATATTCTCTGAAATTAGAAGCACTTTTATTAAGTCAACTACACGTAATGCATTTAAATATATACATTTACGTGTGAATATTATGTTAATATGTCAAAAAAATGTAATTTATGAAGTCGACAAGTCAATGTTTTGTTGATATTGTATATTCCACTGCAACTCTATGGCTAATGCATTGGTACGCGCGCTTTTCGCCTTATCTCGAGTTATTTATTCGTAGTTATTCGTAATCTTGTTCATTGTGGCATTTTGACGTTTTTGTTTTGTGGAAGCATTCGCGCCGTTTTGGCAAACGCTCGTCCCCCCTGCAAAGAACGTCTAAACACTGAATACTTCTGCTTCTTCACACACAATTTACGTTGCTTTTTTCACGCAATTGCGTTTTCCCCCACACGTTCGTAACGAAAATTCAGCAAAAAGAGTAAAAGTACCTGCGTGGAAGGCAAAACGAGAGCAACGAGCAGAAAATTTTCATTTCTCATTTTCAAGTGAATTGCATTGTTTTCTTTTTGCAAATTATAAACGTGAGTGCGAGTTTTTATTATCAAAACACAACGATATTATTGATCAAGTGTTTAATTTGTTGTTTTACGGGTAGCACACTTGCCACAAACCGTCGCCAGCGATATGGATATCATGGACATACAAGCTGTAGAGTCCAAATTGAGTGACGTCACAGTGACCCCAATACCGCGTTCACAAGTACAAAATTTCTACAATTATCAGCAACAACGAGAGCAGCGCGAACAACAACCTCAAATACAGATCTCCGCCATTCACCATCCACCTCGTGATCGTAGTGGCGGTGCGAGTTCCAGTTCATCAAGCGCCACCACGGTGCTTGACCTGCATCACAGTGTGCTCGGCGGTGGTGGCAGTGGCAAAAGTAGTGGTAGCAGCGGGCGTGAACTTTATAGTAAGCGTGACCGCGACTATCATCAGCAATCCACAAGCACCTCAGCAGCTGCCGCAGTTGCAGCTCTACAGTACACACAACAATTGCAAGCGCAATTGGCGCTGCTACAGCAGCAATCGAATACCATCGCCTCACCCGCCTCGACGCAACGTGCTAGCCATAGTAGCGGCACTGCAAATAGTAGTGGTCGCAGTAATGCTATTGGTAATGGCAGTAACATCGGTGTAGTTAATGCTGGAAACGGTGGTATAATTGTCGGTGGTGCGCTGGATGTTAGCAGCAATGCAGCGGCGATACTAAGCGCTGCACAATCGCAACTAAAGTACCCACAATCCACGTCACCCGTCATAACTACACAAACATCGTCCAACATAACAACGCCAATGACTTCCACGGCCAATTTGCCTACGGCGGGCACGTCAGCGGCCAGCAACGGGCTGAGCAAGTATGCCCAATTGCTGGCGGTGATTGAGGAAATRGGACGTGATATACGACCCACATATACAGGTTCACGTAGTTCAACTGAACGTTTGAAGCGCGGTATTGTGCATGCACGTATCCTGGTGCGCGAGTGCCTCATGGAAACAGAACGTTCAGCTCGTCAATGAGACACGGCGATTGACGAAGACATCGGCGGCGTAAAAGTAAGCGACAGCCTTTGTCTAGGGAGCGATGGGTTTACTGCCGATAAGAGTGGGGACAGAAATAATGAAAAGAGTGGTGGTGATGGCGCCGTTAAATAGTTTAATAATTAGTTATGATTTAGCTTAGTATAATTCTGATGTGCGCATTTTCAGTGTTTATGAATCGATGAGACAGCTCAACATTTGTTTTCTTTATCTCGGCACGTATTCACTTCATTCTTACCTGAATTGATTCTTTATGCCTGTTCTTATTGCATGGAAATAATTTTTATAAACTGATAAATGAATTTGTGAGAATTGTGTACTGTCATCAAAGGAGGATAAGTGGTTAACACAGCCTTTTAGCTTTACAAAAGCGCGATCGTTCATGTTTCATTTCGTATAACTTATTAAGTTTTCCTCTTTTAATTATTATTATGCAATAGTTTAAATACAAATGAATGTTTTAATTTATGATTTTAAAATAATTTAAATAAATTTCAACACAAAGTTTTATTTAAAATTATCTTGTTGTTATTTTATGCATTTCTAACGTTCTATTTTATTATATTGCAAAAATAGACAAGCTCAGGCTCCAAATATATTCAAATGCTGCAAAGTATTCACATGCATATATGTACCTATATAGTACATGTTTACAGCCGTATACAAATTTTTTTAGTAAAACTCAACAAATAGTAAAGTTTATGAACAATAAGTAGCAAAAATGTTATGTAACTTAACGAACAATATACATACTTATAAAAAACACTTACGTACATAAATACAAATAAACGTATATGGGTATATACATATTTGCATCTACCCATATTGTAAACAGCAACTATCATATGGATGCACGAATAAATGTATTGAAACAAATATATTTTATATTGCAGAAAGTACTTCGTTAAATATAACAACAAAATATGTAATAAGTAAATAAAATTGTACACTATTTGTATACATATTATCAAATAACTACGTTAGAATTTATTAAACGCAAATAACAACAAACGCACAACCGGAAAATCGATAACACGATATTCTGCACTGTGGCGATCTCTAACAGATACGATCAGCTGGTGCATTATTTGGTTTATTTAAATTTGATATCACAACAAAACTGAAAATGCATATAGTAAATTACTAATTTAATTATTTAATACCGTCAGTTAACAGTGTGGATTACCAAATCTAGTTATTACCTCAACAGCAAGTAGGGAATTTCAGAATGCAAAAGTACAGGGTGTTAAATATTAATTGAAATTTGGAATATATACGTTTCCGTTGCGCGGCGGAAACGAAAAATATAATAAGTGGCATATATAAAAAGACATCTACATGCATATATACACTTGTGCTTATATAGCAAAAAACAACCACGTTATTCATTAGGGAATATGCTACTGTATGGGATTTTATGACACTGAAAAAATTTTAGTGAATATTAGCCGAAAATATTAGTAAGTAACACATACATGTATACGAGTTTCTACCCAAGATTATTGTACACAAGTAAATAATTTAAAAATTACATATTATGTGTATATTAAAAAAGAAAAAAAATAAATAAATAAAAATAAAATGCTAAGAATAAATAGAAAATGTGTATTTATAGCAGAAATAACACTTGATATAGCTAAAAAAGCCTTATAAACACATAAAGTTACAAGGGCAGGCAAGTTCAGCCGCGCAAAAACCGTTTCGTGCGTTTAAAACAACAAAAACACTGTATTAATAAAAAAAAAACTAAATAACGGTGAGTTTAAACTGCGCGTAGAAATTTAAAGGTCATGTTCGATTTTATTTCTTCACATTTTAAGTGCTAATTATATAAAATATTTTAAGATAAATCTTTTTAAATTAACATATTTTTAAACAATTTCCTACTCTTAAATGTTCTCTAGACTCATTTAGCAATCGTGTCGTTTACAACAATCTGGATAGGGTTTGCTGTTATCTTGTGGTATCGTCTTGCAGTTCGGTGGTGGCAGGGACTCCGCGCAGCTAAAAGGTAAACGTACAATATTATAAAATACTCGAAAGAGTATAAAAGAAATTTCACCTCTTCGCTGATATGCTGCCTTCAGCATCACAATGGTAAATCGCGCATTCGCCAGGATTCTCGAAGCTTTCACCAATAGTAAACTGACGATCGCCAAATTCGCAGTCAGCTGTTTATGTGCAAAAATATTTAGATAAATCGTCAATTAGCATATTTTTGTATCTTACCTGCCAGATCAAGGTCACAACAGAGTAGTAGAATAGCTGCGACTAAAAGAGACTGCAACGCCATTACTCATGCGCAGTAGCAATGAATGTCTGAGCGGCGCAAAGAACAATAAGAAACTGTGTGATTTGCGTTAGCTACTTTGCCTTTATGCATAAAAATCAATTTGCATATTTAAAACGTCGATCTTTAACATTTGAACAAGGTAGTGCAAGCGAAGAAGTCTAGTCGAGTTTAATTGATTGTAGAATAAAAAGAAAGAATTTTACACTTGTGTGCAATTTAATAGCTTTGCAGCTGTGAAATCGCCATCATATTGCAAATACTATAAAAAATTTCTTAAACAACCTGTTTTATGTTTATATTCTTTACGGCATTAACGCTGTTAAACAAACAACAAATTACAGTTAATTTTTACAAAAAGATAAATAACTGCAATTTAATTTTTGCTGTGTTTTAAATAAAAATGACATATACATACAAGAAAACAAGTTTTATAGAAAAAATATAGAAAAAAAAATATTGTAAAAAAATTATGAAAAAAAAAATTAAATTATAAAAAGTTCGATTTTGAAACACTGTAAACAATTCTTAAAAGTTTTTAAGTAAAGTTGTTGGGTGTTGGTTAAAATAGTCGGACAAAAATATACGGGCAATTTACTTTACACGAAAAAAAAACGCTCTTTAAATGAGATTATGAGGAAAAAATCTTCAATTTTCATTCTCCTCTGTCTTCCTAATCTAAACTTCCCAGAAAAGGTGTTTCAGCAACTAAATTAAGCAAATCGTTTTTCACTTTCTTTCCCCCCCACTTCACCCACCTTTTGCCCACCACAGCCCACATAGTGTCTGTCTGTCTGTTGTTATTCAAGGCATTTAGACTTTCTTGCACAAATGCATGCATCCCTGTATATGTATGTGTATAATTGTAAAATAGAGTGTGTATGTATGTATGCGTGCACCGTTAATCTGGACTAACGAACACTGTTCCTTATTTGCTTTGTTTCTGATTGGGTTTTTGAGTTTGTATGCGAATGTCTGAAACATATTGAGGAAAACGAAACTGAATGGCAGCGTCAACACGCAGTCGCGTAGCAATACGCTCGCGCGTCGCGACCCCCTTAACAACCAGCTGGACTTAATGCATTTTTACAAATCACAAAAGCGTAAAATTCGAAAGTTTTCGCTTTGTTTTCCGCTAATGTTGCCATTGCTGCCGCACTGCACTTTACCCATATTATTTACAATTTGTTAATGCTACTACTTCATTACTGTTTTGTAACTAATTTCTTTGTTTTATTTTGATTTTTTATTGACGCTCCGTGCGTGATGCCATTACATTCGCATTTTCGTCGCTGATGTAGATTTCGCGTATCACTACCACCAGACGGAGCTTTCGCACTTTTGCGTACCGTGGGTCCTTAAGGATTTCTCGCTTAGTTGTTTCGAAAATCCGAGAATCTTAGCTCGCTTTCGATCTTTAGAAGCAATGCGACCAATAAGCTTTTTGTTTTTATTTAGCTAATACAACAACCTTTGTTTACATGTGGGGTCCATTTGTTTACATTTTTCTGAGGTCATTGATTTTTGTTTACATTTTGTGGGGTCAAGGAACTTTTTTTTACATTTCGCTAAGTCAACAACGTTTGTTCACGTTTAGCCAAGACAGCAACCTTTGTTTACGTTTGGGTTCATTGACCTTTTCTTTAGGGGCCAATGAACTTTGTTTACATTTTATGAGGTCAGTGACCCTTTTGTTTACATGTAGCCGAGGCCATTAACCCCTTTGTTTACATTTTGCGGGGTCAACGAAATTTTTGTTTATATTCTACTTTTGTATACAAGCCTTGTTTACATTTAACCATGTCAGCAACCGTTTAACACTGGGGCCTAAATGTAAGCAAAAATTGCTGGTCGGTAAGTCTTGAGATCGCAAAGGCCAATGTCCCCAGAAAGGGTTGCATAGACAAACTCCTCGTCCGTCATTTCTCCTACTTGACCAGCTGGACCTAAGGCATTTTTACAAATCACAAAAGCGAAAAATTCGAAAGTTTTCGCTTTGTTTTCCGCTGATGTTGCCATTGCTGCCGCACTGTACTCTACCCATATTATTTACAATTTGTTAATGCTACCACTTCATTGTTGTTTTGTAACTAATTTCTTTATTTTGTATTATTTTATTTGCGTGCTACCATTTCTATCGCATTTACGTCGTCGCCGAAATTATAGACGCCGCGTATCATTACCACCAATGGGAGCTTTCGCTGCGTTAGCTGGCGTTGAGGTATTTGGCGGCTGACAAACGGTCCGATCAATCGACGTAATATCAGCTTCGACGCCGGCCGCAATGTTGCAACTTGTGCGTGACGCATTGTGTAAAAGCGCTGAGTTGATGATAAATAGAAAAATAACAACGCACACACAAGCTCGCATACCTAAGGTAGAAGAAAAGATACGAAACGGTTATGGGAAAGTGCACTGTGTGAACCATAATGGACAAACGGGCGTTGAATTGCGTAGTGGGAAGTTGTTACGCATAAAACGCAACAAAAATTATGTGAGTACCGAAAGAAAATGTATTTATTGGCATTTCTCTGGAAAAATACGCTTGCGGAAATCGATTCGAGATGTCTTTAAATGTTGTGTGACAAAACTAGTTGAATAAGATCTGATATGCCTGTTCTTTGGGCTATTGAAGCGACGGAATATTTGGAAAAAAGTAGGTAATGGTAATGAATGCTCAACTTTAGAATTATGTATGAACGATAGATTCTACATTTTACTGTCAAAAACTGATGAGATTGCAGTAAGCAATCGAAAAAAAAATCAGCCAGAACTGATCAACAGAAAGGGCTTCATATTCCATCAGCACAACAGTAGACCACACACATCTTTGATGACTCGGCAAAAACTGAGAGAGCTTGGCTGGCAAGTTATGGTGCATCCAACATATAGCACTGACCTTGCACCATCGGACTACCATTTGTTTCGGTCAATGGACTGAGTCAATTAAAAAAAATTTACTGGACCATTCGTTACAATTCTTTAAAAACTTTCAAAATAGGCTCCTTCTGCGTCGATGCAGCGCTGCCAGCACGATTTCCAATCGTTGAAGGCGTCACGTTGATCACGTCACTAGCCAATCACTCCTAAGACTTTCCGGACAAACCCTGTATGTACTTATCTACTTCTATGTAAACAAACTTAAAATTTAGCATTGAAGAATGTGAAACTCGCCGTCAATGTCACTGAAAACTCTCTTTTAAAATTTTCAAAAATAAACCTAAAATTCTCTGCACGTTCTATAGAAATGTAAATAAAAGCACACACTGACTCACACATAAAAAGTTATGCTATCATTTTTCAAATAGAAATTCATGTAATTTCATCAAGCTACATATCGCCACCTAAAATGCAAAATAATGTAACATCACTTTTCATAAGTTTACAAGCGAAGAAAACAATGTAAAATAAACCACTCAAATGAAAACAAAATGTGAGTTTTGGTTATAAAATGGTTATACATCGGTTATTATATCGGACAGAGATTTTCGATTTATTTATGATACGTTGTTTTACATTTTAGGTGACCAAATGCAATTGTAAAGGCAAATTATTTTTAAGACAACAAAATGCTTTCGAGTGAAGTGTGGCAGTGACGAGCAAAGCAATGAAGTCAACGCCAGCAATGCCACCGTTGTTTATAGCAGATAAAATACAACAACAAAAATAAATAAGAAACAAGCAAATAATGACTTGACATCTGAATATGTAGCTGTCTCGAATCTGCTCTTATAAGCAATTCACGTTTTTAGTACAAATTAACCGTTTAAAGCATTTGGATGCGGCGCAGCTGCGCAGTGAAAATTTGCAACAAATATACATAGTAGATGTTATAGCAAATGGAAGACTTGAATGTTTTTAGATGCTATCGCAATTTTTGGCAAATAAAATACCATGCATGCAAATCTATATACATACATACATGTATATATGTAAGTATACCTAGCCACATATGCACCTGCGCACACGAATTATAACCGAAAGTGTCACCTGCAGTCAGTCAGCTTTGGCATTTTTATAGTTTTGTCCAATTTTTTAATATTAACCATTGTTATTTTTTTTGGAGTCGTTCCTAATTTTATTGCTGTTTTGTTGTGAAACTATAACAAGTATTTGCCATTCATTCATTTGCAATGCGCTTTTCATGGACATTTAGTCAAAAACAAGCTTAACTTGTTCTTCAGTTTTGGAAATAAATAAAAAAAAAATAAAAAAAAATATAAGATTAAAAAAAGTTAAAAAAAGTATTAAAAAGTCGAAAATATAGGGCAGTGGAAAAAGTCTTTTCGTATTTCTAATCAAATTTCAACTTTAATGAACCAAATTCGACTTTTTCAACGATAGGTCCGAGTGTGGTCCATTTTCACATCGAAATTTCCAGAACGGATGCGAGCGAACTATTGTTGTGCTACACGAACTGTGCGAAAAAATTATGAACAAGGAAATGCTTGCGCCCTTAACCGTAGTTAATAAATATTTTATGCTTCAATCACAAGCAGTCAGGCCCTACTTCACGCTATGTGGCGACGATTTCTTATGTTAATATTTTCAGAAATGAATTTCACGCCAAAAATGTAGGAAATGCGCAGCGTGCACTCTCCTCTTCGCCGCACCTTACTTGCATTCAGTCATCTTTAAAACGAGAAGATAGCAGCGCTGCAACTGCAGGTGGGTTTGCTAAGCGGCATTAAGCGCTAGCGGCTATTTCCAGCTTTTCCACAGACAATTTTATATACATATGTATGTAGATACGAACAGGTTTGGTCGGTTGCATACTTTGTACGATATTTTTACTGTTTTTTTCCTTTGAAATCTCAAGCGACTTATTGGCACATTGTCGTCGCCGACATCCGATCCAGTTCAGTTCAGCGCAACGTTGACATATACAGCACACAAAACTCGTCATCAGCTCCAATGCTAGCGGCACGACGATCATGATAGCTTTTATCAACCACAAACGTACATACATACATATATCGAGCATAATTTTCCATAGCGCTGCGGCTCATGTGCGACTCATGCCGCATTGCAGTTGGGTCAGCACGTACGGAATGTGGTTCCAGCGAATTTAGCGCAGCGAAAGAAAAATAAATGTAGAAAAATGTATAAAATAGTAGCTGTAATTTTGTCGCAAATCTGCGTAGATGCTGCTAATACCATCCGTATACGCTCACATACGCGCTTAGTCCAGTCCGTGCCGCTGAAACTCGTTGTGGATGCGCGCGCGCTTTTTGTTAGACGCTTCAATGGACACATCGATAGTAGTAAAGGCGGGTCCGCTCTCTTTGTCGTTGGCCGTATTGAAGTGCTGGAATGTGATAATGCCATCGGTAGCCGCCGACAGAAACAACAGTGGCACTGGAGTTTAGTTTAGCATCCTCAATTGCATGCTGCGCATTGTTAAATTCAGGCACTCAGCAGCGCTGCGATATTGTTTGCCTCAGGTGTTTGTTCAGAAATTATTATTGATGTTTAGATAATTTGAAATTTGCCGCTGTGCAAATGAAAAAGATTTGTGGATAATTTGCGTTGCTCATTTTGTAGCCACAAATTTGTCGAAGACGTAACGCTTCTGGCATAAAAATTATATACCACATATGTATGTATATATGAAGAAAAATTTAATGCAGGTATTTAGAAAATTCCTTCTATGAGGTACTCATTATTATATACATTTCAATTGTTCTGAGACTTCTTACGACTTTTGGGGTCCTCCAATCCACGGATAACCCCTAAACAAGTTCAAATCACGACTAAAGCCTAGTAAACCTTAAGTCTTATCAATTGCCTCTGACTGACTGAGTCGATTTAAAAAAATTTACTGAACCAATCGTTACAATTCTTTAAAAATTTTCAAAATAAGCACCTTCTGCTTCGATGCAGCGCTGCCAGCGCGATTTCCAAGCATTGAAGGCATCACGGAAGGTATCCTCTGGAATAGCCTTGAAAGCCGAGTGCATTCTGCTTGGATCCCCTTTCATCGGCCTTTCAGACAAAGAAACAAAAAAGTCCGGGGGTCACATTTGGGCTATAGGGCGGCTGCGGAAGCGTTGATGTTGTTGACAGTTTGCCCAGGAGGAACAAATTCATGGTGGACGATGCCTTTGATGTCAAAAAAGACAATGAGCATCGTTTTCACTTTGGATTTGTTCATTTCTCCAGTCTTCATTAGCGAATTAGTCTATTACTTTCCGGACAAACCCTGTATAAGAAACTAACTAGTTAACTTATTAACTGAGAAACCTTTCGCCTGAGTTGACTATCGGAACATCCCACAAGGACCCGGAATAATAAATTTTTAGGTAGTAAGCAGTTCGTCTTTCTGACTCTTAGTAGATAAAGCTCTCAATATAAAAGAGTCAGCAGTTCGAGTTTAAGGTTGTACGTATTAGTAGAATATTACAAAAAAGGAGGAGTTCTCTTAGCCCTTTCAAAACTTAAGCCAAACATTCCCTGTGTGAAATAATTAAGCAATTGGGAAATTTTCTCTCGATTATGGGGATATCGTTCAAGAAAATTTTACTGAACTAACCATAAATCTCCTTGATTCCGGTTGCCTAAGAATTTTAGATCCTGAGTATCGAGATCGGTTCGGTGATCCGTTTTTAGAAGATCTGATGAACCTATTCAGAAGTTCGATAAAATAAAGAGGCTTGCAGCAACGCGATGTGTGTTCTAAAAATAATCATTTCCCGCATCATTTGCGTGTGAAAACACAATTTGCCAATCCACAAATCATATAACATTCATTAGCCACATCGATACATTAAAATATGGTATTGCCTTGACTGACTAACGACGCTGTAACGTTAGAGGTCAGAGACACCACAAAAAACAAATAGAAGACACCACAGAAGGCGTAATTTTCCCACCAACAAGCTGGCAATCAATGAAACCACAAATATTCTATTGCGACCGCAAACGACGGGAAGCCAAATGGCAATAGAAGTTGCGATTTGAAGCGACGAAGTTGCGATTTCAGATTGCAATTGAAATTCAGCCAAGTCACACGAACCAATTGGAGTCCACAGTTAGCAACTAAGCGCTAACTGCACAAAAGCGCTAGAATTTCTTACACCATCAACAAGGTGACGGAACCACTGAAGCTTGGCAGGGCGATGGGCTTGCCGGCGCTGCCGTACATCACACAATGAATATTGAACGCGCATACATACCATAGGTGTATGACGTATGGAGTGCGTTCTTGGCGAGCTCAAGACTTGCTGTATCATTGAAAGAAAGCAACTGGCCGCTTCAGTGGTTGTTTGCTTGCAAAAGCAACTGTTAATCGAAAGACCGTTGTTTGACGGCCAGTGGGACTGAATGGATGATTGACTAGCTGACAAACGGACAGACGGACGCGGTGCTAAAGAAGCAAAGCAGCAAGCAATGAAGCGAATATTGATAAAGAAAATCGTAACAAAACAATTCACACTGCGTCGGGTGTGGAAAAGAAAAAAGAGTAGTTCGCGGCTTCAATGTATGTAAGCGCGTTGAGTTGGACGCAGCATCTGCAGACGAACACAAAAAATGTAAAGTCACGCGCAAGCGACTAACGACCAGCGAGTATGGTTGTTGTGATAGTAGTTGTGGTCGAACGGTGCACCGCTGCAATTATTGATATTTTGTCAAAACTGAACAGCTGCAACAATAACAATGCCGCATGGAGCGCGCTCACGCAAGATTTTGGTTTTGTAATTGAAAAGCGCTACAACGCGCAGATCGTGCAGGTCAGCGCGCATTTGCGCAGGCGCAACAACAAATTTGGAATGCATGTCGCTTGGCAAGGAGTCAGCAGTGAAGCGTTGTTGGAGGCGTATAAGGCACAAGCTAGCTCCAACGACTCTTAATCGTGTCTCATTCTACAACTCAAGCACGTACAAGTTTTATGTGAATTTTCTCGCCAGCAGTGTACACGACAAAAGCCGCGAGCATGCTTATGAGCGCTGAGCGCCTTCGGCAGCGCAATCGTGCACACAAGTCTGAGACGAGCTGCGGGCTTGATGTCTGGAGCAGGCGGTGTGAAGTGCTGTGTGCGCGCGTTGATTTGGGGGGGCCAAAGTGAGTGCTGTTTGCTGTTCGTTGGCTTGGCGGCTCAGCGTCTTCGGCACGTCGTGTGTGCGTTCAGCTCTACAGTCTTCGTTACGACAAGCGCTCGAGCAGTCTTCGATTTGCACGCGTCTAACAAACAACGTTCGTCTTTAGCGCGTATCTACTACGAGTTTCTTGAAATATATGCAGCGTCGCGCGTTTACGCAGTTCGTCCGCTATACGCAAGTCTACACAATCCGGTATACCGTTGGCACTTTGCATTGCCCGCCCCTTAAAATTCGGGTTTGTTGCTGCAGTCAAATGTAAATAAAACTTGAATTGTACGGTTGTGCTACCCGCGCATATAAAATAAAAGCAAAGAAAACCTTTGAAAGGGTAGAAAATACAAAAAAATAAAACGACACCAACAACAAAGTGGAAGTGGAAGTGGTTAAGTGGTCAGTTGGTTGGCGACTTGTACGCTTTGCGTTAATCGTTTTTCGTTTTTTTCATATTATTTGGTGGATTCGCGTGTTTGTGTGTGCGTCTCCCTTCTCTTGCATTCGCTTTAAGCCTTGTTTTGGTTTAATTTCTTTCTTTTTGAGTTTAATGAAATTTATTTATTTTTTTTTGACATACACATGCACACACACGGATCTCCAAAAATACCAGTCGCGCGCATACAAACACTGGTGTATATGTGCATGTGAACACATGCCGCACACCTTCGGCCGATAATAAAATATTTGATAAATGAGCGAAAATTTTGACTTTTGGATTACGTTTTTAGATTTTTGCTTTTGTTTTTGCAGCG